ACTACACAGTACAAACATCTCCCCTTTACATTCAGATGGCATGTTTGCCTTGGAGAGGGTCTGGACCAGAGCTTCTGTTTCTTATAATCTAATGATTTATGTTGTCCATCACTCATGAACAGGCCACACCTGCACCAGCTAACCCCAACTGGACACAGCATGTTTTAGCTTTAACTCCAGGTCCTTCTTGTCCTACATTTTTTCTTGACAGCATATGTAAACTTCAACATTTTTTATGATGATTTGGGGAAAATATGCTATGACGGGGAAAATATGCTTTTATTTAGGGTCAGTCAAGTCACCTTCCTCTTTTTATCTGCAGTCTTGCATTTGGTCTGTTAAACTAAAGGGACCATCAAAACAGAGTAAATGCAGTCACTAGATAGCATGCAAATGTATTACATATGCAGGCTTTGAAATGCTTTGGCAACGGAACAGGCTACAGAGATTTAAAGCTGACACCTCATGGGAACCACACAGGCAAAGCTCTCAGTACCTAGAAATGGCCTGCTCTGTGGAAGGCCACTGGTATGAGTGAAGAAACAGACTTCCTCTCCCCAAAGCAAACTTCCTCATAAAATGACAGCTTCTGGACATGCCTCACCCAACCAGTGAACAGCTACTAATACAAATCAAATGTATTGCAATTCTGAAGACAATGGCATCTTTGTGAGGATTTCTCCTTTTAAATGTAGTGGTGAATGTTCCTGATGAGACTTTAATGACGGCCTTCTGGTGGGGTGTTGAGTTCTGTTGTCCATGTAACGTGAGGGCCGACCCTGCAGTGGAACACAAACTCTTAATAGGAGCGGTATCCAGGTCAAGGAGAGAACAAAGTCACTGTGATGGCTTTGGATGGTGCTGTTTGCTTCATACCAGTGTAGTATTTTCATACCTTTCTTAAACATTAGCATAATTTAGGACATAAAAGTTTATTGTTGGGGTAAAACCAGACAGGAATCTTGTCTGAAAGTGGTTTTGTTGTCTCCACTGAGTTATGCACTGAATGTAGTGATGTCTCTATACCTGATGAGATGAATGGTGAGAAAAGGGCTCTGTTGCCATAGCAATTAACAATTCAAAAAGAAATCTATCTTTTCTATGGTTTAAAATCCTCAAAATGCCACCGATGAATAGGAAGCAAAAATGCACCCTAAAACTTGAAGCAAATATCTGTTGTAAGTTAACTGTGCAATAAGGCAATAAATCAAATCAAATAAATGTCATTATAAAATACTAGCACAAATATTAAACAGTATCATATATTGTACAGTAGGTCAATGTAGTGTTTAATGTGACAGGCCTAGTGAAACCAATGATTACATGTAAAATTATTAAGATCCTTTTTGAAAAAAGTCAGATGCTCATGCAAAGATGGTCATTCAGACAGTTAACGGCCATAGCATTAACTGTGTGAATGAGCTTCTAAACATGAAAGTGCTTTTCTGATCTGTCAACAAATTAAATTTTAAGTCACAAATCCTATGGACCTCTCTATTTATGATTAAAAGTCACATTATCTAGACTTCTGGTGCTGTACAAACCATATTAACATACAGTATATGTTATGTTGTGTGCTGCTGATAGCCAACTGCAAAGTGATTGAAGGATTGAGAGATGAGTGCCCAGAGTGATCTCTTTGATGCGATGAAGTCATTCATGCAGAGAAACACCATCTTCACATTATACAACTGCTTAAGAGCCGCATTTGGGTGTCACATGATTGTAAAGATATGTCATCTTTACTGCAAATGGAATGGATTTACTCATGATAAGAAGCAAACCATAAAATCACTTGGGTTTAAAATAATAGTAACCCTTTGTTTCCCATTAGTGCTTTAGGACATTTGTATAGTGGATTGTACTGGGGCTGCTGAGTCGTGAGTCTTAGTGTATGATCATGTTCATGTGTAATGAGCCAGGTCCAACAGTGCACTTCAGCGGCAATGGAAAGAATGTTTTATTATGTGTGAGATACAGTATGTTAAAAACTTGATACTTTGCAGTGACATCATACTGGGGGTGTGCTACATGAATCTCTATGTTGTGATGTTCAGCAGTCGGGGCAACACAATGCACACATTAGCAAAAACAGTCAAAAAAGGTTTTAAGATTGTCCGAGAACTGAAGAAAAAAATGGATGTAAATGGAACATTTTCAGGAACCTGTGTTTAACTGCAAAAAATCAGCTCACCTGTTGTAGTTCCAACTAAATAGGCTTTTTCTGGTCAAGTTGTGTTAAAGATAAAGATTAGATTAAAGTCTAGTAGCGCTTCTAACAGAGCAGTGCCTACAGCTGGCATCATGGAATGCAGACGACAATGACTTCAGCTGCAAAATATCAATATGCACATTTGAGTTAAGGAGATTTTTTTTCCCCTTTATTAATCAATCACATTAATGAATGAAATGCCCCTGTCTTGTTACCTTGGTCTGTCTGTTCCTGGAGTGCCCCTTTTCTGGTTGTGGGCAGTTGGTCTGGTCTCGTGTCCAGATGGCCTCAGACTCTGAGCAGCACATAATATCACTGATCTACATTTTGTCATTCACAACAGAGACTCTTTTACTCTTTAAATATCCATTCAGATATTCAGATACATGACTACATTCATTCAGATACTCCATAAAACTGTACAACAACTCACCCTTATGTAACAGATAACCCTGTGTCCTATCAATCATCATATCATCTTTGCACTGTTTTTCCCTACGACCTCTTGTATTTAGTTGAGATATATTTGTATTTGTATATTTTATTTTTACTTGTACATACACATTTATTTAATTATGCATTATTTGACACCAATCTCTTGTTATAGTTTTGCTAATTATTTAGAATTTATTATCACCATTTATATTTTTGCTCTTTGTTATTATATTATATTATAATGTGTGAGCTACTATGTCCATATCATTTCCCTTGTGGTTAAATAAAGTTTGTCTAAAGTCTAAAATCAAATGGATTCACACTGCACTGCCACAATTTGCAGCATCCAAAACATGCATTTTTGTGTTGGGTTTTCTAAGGACAAACAGGCTGCAACTTATGTGGTAGTATCACTTTACTGCATTCACTGAATAGTTCTGCTGGGTGTTGTGGAAGTGTAACAACAGGGAGACTGGGATAATTATAGTTGTGCCAATATTGTACAGGATTGAAGCTTGATCCAGTCTTGATCTTATTGAAAAAGCAAAAATATACAGTATGTACTGTACACATTGCATTCCTGTGTCTCTGCAAGGGGGTTGTGAGTTCAGTGCTCTAATTTTTGAGTCAGAGTAACCAATCTGTTATATGAAAATGTGTCACACTGCGTAAAGGTGCACTGCGCAACTTTTCTGGTGGAGGGTTTACTACCTGCTAGTCTCCATGGAGATGTTATCGCTTTGCCTGGAATATTCCATGGTATGACTTTAAACATATCCATCTCACATTTATTCATGATGGGTGTTTTTGTTGCTTGTAGTTGTAACCGGCTTGTCTTTCCCGTGATGGGTTTAATTTATACTCTGGAACTTTCTAGACACAGCAATGACATTTCCATAGACAGAGACAAGCAGGTGGCGGACCCTCCACTAAAAATGCTACACAGTGCATGTTTAAGGCCCAAAGTTGCTTAGTACAGATTAAATTAAATCATGTTACAAGTCAAACCCTGGCCAGATACCACGATCCATTAGATTAGGATTAAGCTCATACCTGCTGTTTATTAATGCCCCAAATAACTACCAATTATCCAATTATCTCCGCTAAGTCTGAAATGATCCTGCTTGGATTCCTGCTAATCTTGTCTCCACACATCGCCTCTCTCATCTGCTGGCACTCACATTGTTTCATGGTGAGGGGTTGTTTTTGGTATGACATTATATTCAGATCACACGACACTGGATGGACCAAAGCAGGTGTTTTTTCAAAACTTCCCAGGCTAAAGTCTCAGCGAAACCAGAGTCGAGTCAATATGAGGTAATCAAATGTGGATCTGCTGTTTGAAGTAAAGCTACTCATTGTCTGCAGATCTCAGGATAACATTTCACTTGCGTCTGGCACTGGATATTACCTTCAGCTATAATCTTTTTCAGTGAGAATTTGTGAGATGTCTGGTGGTTGCTGGCTCTATTTCCGTTGAGTTTCTGATACTTGTGGTTCATAGTGACTGTTACATCTGCACAACAGGAACAGGAAATGCTGTCTCCTCCTACAGCAGGGTGATAGTGGAAATGTTAATGTTGAGAAATATTCAGAGCTTTTGAGTTGGTCCTGCTGTCAGAGCCACAGGGCACTCTTTGTTGGCAAGAAACTGATACCTGTGTGAGGTAAGCACTGATTTATTGTCCAGAAATGTGATTCACTGCAAAGAATATGTTGTGCAAATCTAAGAAGACAGGCGTATTCTTGTTTGTTGTCTCTACTTGTTACTTATTACTATATGTTGGACTTAACTCACCTCCATTCTTATATAAATATTAATATGATTTCATTTTTTATGGCCAGTAGTTATATATTAAAGGATGTTTGGCAGCTGCATACAGGTAAAATCAATGCAGTGATGTTAAATTGTGTGCATCCGCTTAGAAACAGGAAATTTCTGGTTAGAGTTTTACAACACTTGTCATATACTTGAACTGTGCCTATACTTTGCATAAGTGAGCCCATATTGCACCATTTTCTGATGTTATAATGTTCTATCCCCATCAAAAACATACATGGAGTTGCGTTTTCATTTTCAGGAATTTCTCATCTCTACTGTACTAAAGGTAGAAGGTAGCACATGATGTCACAAGTTGGAATAGAGCATTTTGAGTTTTAGAGATGCAGATAGACTAACAATGCAGGATTACTCAAATATGTGTGAATGAAGAAAACACGACTCCAGGTATGTTTTTGAGGTGGTAACAACATTATAACAATTCTTAATACTCACAACAGACAATTTTGCGTAATAAGGAATATTTAAATTTCTGTACTCAGTGATGATTGTGTCTCTTCTCTTCTATTTCAGGGTCAGAGGTTAGTCTGGGCCACACCATGTCTGAATCCGGCAAGCAGCACCCAGCCAAAGGGGACAAGAGCCATGTGGGCGACTCCAGCTACGTGGGCATCGACGCCATCTTGGAGCAGATGAGGAGGAAGGCCATGAAACAGGGCTTTGAGCTCAACATCATGGTGGTTGGTAAGTAAAGCGTTCTAAGAAAACTTTAAAGTACTCAAGTGGATGTGTTACCCACTTTCACACAGTAGTCAAAAGTTCACTCTAACCCTACCTTTCAACTGAAGATGATTTTCACGATTGTCTTTACAGAAGAGAGCTAAGCCTCATTTGAATCAGTGCCACTTAAACCATTCTGCTCAGTTTGCTCACCTTATTTCTTCAGTCACTGATCCCACTATGAAAGCAAAAGTAAATCCACAATGTAACTACAGACATGTGTTTTTCCCTTAACAATTTGCCAGCGGGGTATGTTTTTAAGTGAGCTCTTTTCTGTGTCCCTGTGTGACAAACAAACACACAGACACACAGCTGAGAGGATAAGAACAGGTTGTTGGACTCTCAAAGTGGCATAATGACAGTGATTACTGCGGCAGGCTCAAGCACACTCTTTCTAGAAACACTCAGAGGTGCTGTGTATGGTTCCACAGTCTACACATACTAAACTGTCCAATTTCACCTTCTGCATTAATAGCATATGTAAATGTTAGACTTAGACTTAGACAAACTTTATTCATCCAGGTGTGAATTTATTTGGACACAAACAAACATCACCATATATTATGATAACAAAGAGCAAAAATATAAATGGTAATAAATTCAAAGTAGCAAAACAGACTTGTGTCAAATAAGACATAATTATATAAAGTAAAAACTGAAAAATATAGATATATAGGAATACAAATATACCTCTCAGCAATATACAAGAGGTCATAAGGAGAAAAACAATGCAAGGATGAAATCAGGCTCTGTTGTTGTCGTTATCTAATGAATGGAAATTAGTCACAAACCAGACTCAGCTGAGACAAAGTGAGACAAACATAAAAAAAAAAAAGAACATACGTATGTATGTTTATAATAACATGTACTGTGCGGGTGTGGTGGACAAAGTTTGTTTTCTACAGTACACTGAAAAAACAAAAAAATCTAGCCAAGTTAATATTACTTGAATTTAGAAAGTTTTGTCATGATTTAAGTAAAGTTCACTTGACAAGTAATATTATCTGCCAATGGAACAAGACTTTTTATACTTAAAATATCAAAATACATCTTGCCACACTTAAGGCAAGAAAAACAACAACTCTTTGCAGTTAAAATGAGAAACATTATCTAATGTTGCTTGAATTAAGAAAAATGCACTTATTTCATTGGTAGATAATTTTACTTGTCAAGCTGAATCTACTCAAATAAAGTGAAATGCTCTTAATTGAAGTCACTTTAACCTGCCTAGATATTGTTTTTTGCAGTATGATCAGCATGGCTCTTTCTGTTGAGCTGCAGCTGATTTGAAGTAATTGCTCAAATTGATTTAATTGCCATATTCTGTGGCTGTGCATTTATATACAACAACTATCCTTTGCAGAATACACTTTTACTTAGCTGGAAGGGTGTTATTTAGCTCTACGCCTAAATACACTGACATGTTATCACAGATCCATGGGGATACATGCCAAGAAGTGACACTTGTTACAGAGAATTCTTGACACTTACATTTCACATTTCCATTGTCCCCCTGCACATGCAAACGTATGTTACCCACTAACAACATCATAACTTATAAAACACGTGTTTAAAATGATTCAAGTCATTTGTGTGGTGAAATGTAGTTGATAATAAAAGCAAATCAGAACAGAGATCTGCTCAAACATGCACATTGCTCATTTACTGATGTCACTGTCGGCCGTGTCTTAGCTTATGTCTGTGCAAATATTTGCCTGACAACTCATTTAAGTCCAGCCTCTTAAAGTAATCATGTACCATTTCACCCTGATCCTCTAAAATCATCACCTTTAGGTTTGTTATTATTGCAAATAAAGTGACATTTAATTGAAGCTTGTGAACTTGATTTCAATACCATATTACATTACATATAACTGTATATCTGAGCTTTATATAGTTTTCTCAATGTAGCTAAATCTCGACTCAAAGGCAAAAAAACCTCTGATCTGCTGTGACATTTCACTTAAAAGATAATCTGTAAAAATGTACCATGACTGAAGGTGTGAAAATTACATTAAGTGGTACATGACATTTTATAGTTCACATCGTTTGTTTTGACATAAAAAGACAAATTGATTGTTTTAGCTGTTCACTCAGACCAGTTAACCTTTATAGCAGAAGCACACAATCATAACATAGTCTTTGGGCAAACACAGTTGTCACTGGATGTTGGTGAATGTGAAAGGTTCTAGCAGCTGCTGTCTTGGCTCTGTCCGCGGTGTCTGCTCTGTGAGATGCATTTGCCTAATCCCTGCCCCAGGCCACCTGACCTTTGATTCCCAGAATGCACTGGGGTAGCTGTGGTATCTTGGTGCTGTGTGCCAGGGCTGGCATCCGGAAGAAGCCTGTATTAATAAGTCTGGGTTATAGGGTGAGAGTTTGTAACTGTGAGAGAGAGGGTTTAGGAATACGCAGTTGGCCTTTTTCCTTGGATGGGAAAGGCGACTTAGGATGGTTATGTGTTATGGTAAATAAACAGGTCCAGCAACAGACTAAACGAGGGGACTTTATTTTAATTAGATACATTTTATGTATGTTTGTTTAATGTTTTAATTTTTTATTCAAGATCAATCTCTTATGAACCTAAGGCCACAATATTCGGTGTAACACTGCAATTTGTGCATTTCCTTAAAAAAATACACATGTATAAAAATGTAATTGCTTTTACACATGTTTGACTTGAAGACTAATACAGCTCAAGTGGAAAGACAAACAGCTTCCAAAACTTTAGATTGTGGCTTCCTGACCTCTTACCCTGTCTGAAAATTAGATTTTCTATAAGGGGCTCTGCTGATAGGTTTCAGTATCTGGGAACCTGTTCTGAGTCAGATCGAAGACGTTGATACCCCCCTTATCTCACAGGTACTATTACTATATTGTATATCTAATTTATTGCTCAGTAATATAAACTTCAAAAAAAAAAAAAAAAAAAAGAGGAACAGCCTTTTGCGTATTTTAGTGCTGGTTCAACCCTGTTGTAAGTTTTAGGTTTTTGGGGCGCCAAATATTTAACAAGGTTGAACTAAGGTTTGAGGTTTGTGTGAAAGGTTTGAGGGTAACTATACTTCTCTGTATATTTAATATAAATGATGGGATTGTGTTCTCACCTGAAAAAACCTGAAATTTGCAACATTGGTCATTGTTTGCACTTTGCATCACATGACAGGACCAGGTAGAATAATAATTCCAGGTACAATTGGTCAGGCAATATGGAATTCAAATTCTAACCAATTCGTACAGCAACCCAACAGCCCATTCTCTTTTGTGTTAAAGGGCCCGTATCACAATTTTGAGCTTTGGAGGTGTGGGCAGTAATAAAGGATTACTAAAATATGTGTGAATAAAACAAAACACAACCCCAGGTATGTTTTTGATGGGGTAACAGCATTCTAACATGGTATGACCTTTTAATAATTTTGTTTAGCTGATGCATTGGGAATAAGATGGATGGAGACAATTAGATCCACTTTACCTTGAGAAAGCTGCTAATAGTGACCATGAAGGTAAAATGCTTTGAATGCTTAGATCAACCATAACTGATTGCTTTGCGTGTGGTCCTCGTGTTCTGGAGCCCTCCACAGCTCACCAGTGTGGCCCCTACAGCTGCACTGTTATGGTTCATTACAGTTTATCCAACATGATGATGGATGTCTAGTCACTCCGGGGGAAAAATATGTGTAGCGGTGTTGTAAAAGTGATTGACGCTGTTTACTCTTAGGACACATACTTTGTCTTTTACTAAATGGTACCTGTCTTCCATGTGTCCAGGGCAAAGCGGTCTGGGGAAGTCCACTCTCATGAACACGCTGTTTAAATCCAAAGTGAGTCGCAAATCGGTGCAGCCTGACCCAGAGGAGAGGATCCCAAAGACTGTCGAGATCAAGTCCATCAGTCACGGTGGGTTGGCTCTTGTGTTAACTGACCTTTTATTCAGATTTTTTTAAATAGAAACAACTTCCTGCTGCGCTCTGTGTTTATTCTCTGTGGTGTTGTGTTCATGTGTAATATTTTTGCTGTAACAGATATCGAAGAGAAAGGGGTGCGGATGAAGCTGACGGTCATTGACACGCCTGGTTTTGGAGATCAGATCAATAATGAAAACTGGTGAGCACCTAATATATAATGAAAAATATATAATAATATATAAAGTGGAATAGTGTTTGAAAATGGTTATTGTTGTATTTTTTTTTTGTTTTTTTGTTTTCATATTCAATGTGCTGATATTTAAGTAAAAATATATTTCACGTAGAAGAACATATAATATAATATTGTAGTTGCTGTTTTAGAGATGTGCAAAATTTTTTATTGATGTAATAAAAAGACAGCAACAAATCTGTCAGCAACAAAGTCATATTTACTCATTTTTGTGGTTAATTTTAAATTCACATATTGAGCCATATTTTAACCACAGCCACAGCATTTACAGCCATGTTTTTGCACATTGCTGATGGATTACTATAATAAAAAAACATGTATTAATTTGCCAATATCGCTCACCTCTACTTTCATGCAATAAAATATACAAATGGACAATATAAATACTTAAGATTTTCAGTCTTTTGTGCCCTCACTCAACACTGATTAGATATAAAAATGTGTAGAGAAAAAAAAGTGCAAACATGCCACCATTTTGTATACACATTTACCTCATTAATGTCTGTTTTAGCTGGCAGCCCATCATGAAGTTCATCAACGATCAGTATGAAGCATACCTGCAAGAGGAGATCAACATCGACCGAAAGAAGAGGATCCCAGACTCCAGAGTGCACTGCTGCATATACTTCATCCCTCCCACTGGACACTGGTAAGACTATCCCTCTTCCCCCTACCCCCTCCCCTTTACTGCCCCCTCCCCTTATTGCCACTGACAAGAAGCAGGGCTGCTGGGAATACCCCTGCATGGGCCATTGTCTGTTCACTGTCCCCCAACAAGACACACATCTGCTCCATCTTCTTTTGTTCTTCTCATAATCTAGTGACCACATGTGGAAGTCATTCTCTCTCCAAGGCCCTTTACGAGTCATATTACATCGAGAAATTAAGCTTTGGTCTTTCACTGGGAAATAGGATATTGCTCGTTTTCATTGTAATCAAAGCATTTATTAGTCCTATATTAAGTTAACTGAAAGCACTGCTCTGTCTGAAGCTCTTTTACTCACATTAGACATAATCTGATCTTCATTTGAAACACAATCTGACCAAAAAGAGCTGACTTGGTTGGCACTACAGGCTACTACCAGGACTACAGTCTACTAGGCTTCTGAAAATCTCTTATTTAAATCAATTTTGCCTTGTATTAAAACATATTTGGCAGTTTTTCTATGTGAGCATTTTGTCACCATGGTAACTGTTGGACATTCTGCCAGTAGAGATGCATGTAGAACACCCCCAGCGTGATGTCACTGCAAAGTATCAATAGTGGGATAATGAACCTGATCTAAAATCAATAACTAGTATTCGTCGTCACCAATTCTACACTCAAAATTGATCAATAAGGGAAAGCAACAATCAATAGTGTTCAGATGTATGTCATCCACTCCACATAGCCACGACTATACAAGCTATACTACACAATGTAAAAGTTGTAAAATGGTTGATAAATTCTGTGTCTAAAAGTGCCTGGACTTATTAAGTTGTCAATATGAGCTCGCAGTTGAAATCCAAACACGAACAACTGTCGAGTACCAGCGTGCCAGTGGCAACAACAACAACTTAGTAGTGTTAGTATGTCTGTATTTCAAAGATGGTGGAAAGCATTGTTGTTTTTGTCATTCATCCATTTTCTTTATTTTGATACTGTGCAGTGACATCACGCTGGGGGTGTTTTATATGTATCTCTAATGGTGGAATGTCCAACAGTTACAACAATGTCACTGACTATTAAATGTCAAAAAAACATTAAATAGTCTTGAGTACTCAAGAAAAAATATCAAACTGATTTAAACAACTAATTTTCAGGGGATTGTGTGTGTCAGATTGTGATAAAATAAAACTCAGATTAAAGTCTAACAAAGCTACGGACAGAGCAGAGCCGACAGTTAACTTCACACCCCCGGGGAATGTTGATGACATCAAGTATCAATAACATCTTTTTATCATGATTTTCAGAGTGATGGAAAATGAGTACTGTTGCCATAGCATTTAACAATTTGTGGCCAAATAGTGTAAGAAAAAGTCCTCAAATGTTGTTTTTTATAAAAAGGAATCTGAAACCCGTGGATAAACAGGAAGTTAAAACCCCACATGCACATACCCATGAGACTATTCACAACATGGTTTCTCTATCAGCTGCCTGATATCTGTATCTCAACAGTTGTGCTCCTAACGGTTGTCATGGTGAGCGGGGGCTGTGTGTGTATTTGACAGAGCCTTCATCAGGGACTCATGATAGCAGCTGGTCCTCTGTACTACATAAGGCTTTTCTTTGTGGATCTTAAAGGTGCACTTTGTAACATTTTGGTTGGGTGTACATCACCTGTTTGTTTCTATGGATATGTCACTGCTCTACCTGGAATGTTCCACAGTATAATATTAAACGGCTCTACCTTACATTTATTCAATTACAGGTGGTTTCATAGCTAAAAAATATTAGAAAAACAGGCAGGGTTGTGAGCGGGGTTGCCTCTCCACAGATCTGATCTGTAACTTGGTCTGGTTTGGTTTCCATGAAGATAGAAAGGTTAAATATCATACTGTGAAACATTCCAGACAAAGCAATAACATCTCCATGAAGAAAAGCATTTTCCCTCCACCAGAAAAGTTACACAGTGCACCTTTAAACTTGATATGCAGAACAGTAAGAATAAAACAAACCAAAAAAATATTTTTTTTCCCCACAGAATCCTGAAACTCCTCCCACAGTGTCTTCTTTCCAAAATATGCAGGGAAACGACATTTGTGAGATGTTGCGTGTAGAAGTTTGAATAACTGTAGAATGTTTTGTTTAAAAATGCGTTCACATTTAAGCAACGCACTAAAATCTCCCCTCATTTCTTACATTGGTTAGTTCACCATCACACTTATCATTTTTTAAAATTTGTGTTGCCTTGTGGTAGACCTGGCCAAGTCCATGTGGGCCTGTTACCAATTACGCTTACTGGCAATAATAGACGAGGATACTGCAGAGTCATGACCACAGTGCTCACTTGGCAGGAAACGCATATTGGGTTTATCCAAATTGTCTATGAAAGTCCTAACAGTCTTCTATCACTTTATGAGAGCATTTTAACTTTTTCTTTTTTCTCAAACCCTGTATTTATTCCAGGTTCTCGAATCTAATGTGATTGTTAGAGTTTTTGTAACTTCTTTGGTTTGTGTGCGATGACCAGTGTTTAGTGGAGCGCAGCCTTGGCCTCAGTAACCATTTCCGATAATGGCAGAGTCACAGTTTTCCCTCTGGCGAGTTTGCTGCTTCCTCATTGAACACAAAAAGGAAGGCTGCACTTTGACACTTCTCCACTCTGAACTTGTTTATGGTCATGCAGCAGGAAAAGCCACTGGCTATATGTAGGCTGTTTTTACTTAGAGCCAATTAGTAACAATCCTTTAGTATGCACCATATATTACCTACATATTATTATGCATGAATGTAGAAACATAAGATCATTCCTGCATCCTTACGTTCATATTTTATGTGTGCACTACTTATGTCATTGTGGTGAATTGCATGGTATCTTTGTTTTATGTTTGCTCACTGCTCAGTTCCGTATCCTTTGAAATATTCTTGCATATTCTTGCACCTATCCACATACATCCTGTTACAGCCTGTTTTGAAGCACGGTATATCGCTACAGAGAAATATTGCAATGAACAATAATTTTAAAACTGCTTTGACTCTAATACAAAGCAGGATAATTCCAGTAAACCATTTTAAACAGACAGAATCATTAAAAGGCCTGAGCTGCAACAAATAAATAATAGAATGAACGAATAATTATGCATAAAAGTTACTTATTCAAACTTGTACAGTTCAAATCTAATTTTATTACAACAAAAACATCCCAAATCTTGCCACTTTTTATAAAGAAACTGTACACACAATAAGTATTGAGCCACAAAATCCATTCTTCCAGCTTTCATATATTACGATATTATATTAAGTTGAGTAGTAGTAGTAATTATCATGACAGGCTTACATACATAGAGGTCATTAAATATGTGCTAAACCTTAAACTATCTTTTTTTATTCATTTATTAAAGGAGCCTAAAAGTAAAATTGACTATGTAATATTTGTTTGGATACATTATGGTGTGTGTAGATTCCTAGTATTCTGGCTGTTATGGTGATGTCAGAGTGGACTGACTGCAGCTGCCCCATGGTGCATGAACTCAGTTGGCCTCTGGTGGTCCGGGCTAATTGGAAAACAGAGAACATAAGTAAATGTGGCCACTGACGGGACTGAGAAGGATCTAGACTGTATCAGAGAAAAGTCAGGACCCCATCAGGTTTTAACAGAGTAGCCTCATGAGAGAGAACAAAATACCTTTACAATATTTGTTTGAGGTATAGTATTTGTTCTGTAAATTGAAATCAATTTTGACACGGATAAATATTGCCTTCTAGTGGACGTTCTGTAGTATTGCATCAACAACAAATCCTCATTGAACAAGTATCTAGGCATGTGAACATAATTTATCACATGAAATATGAACTTTCAGCCTGATCACCTAAACAAATGTGCTGGAAAGTTGCGTTAAATGGTGCTCTATTCTATCCTGTTTGCATGGTAAATTACTACAAAGAGCATAGCATAGGCAGATAGTGATTTTGCATTGTCATCTCAGTATTGGGCTAAACGTAAGCAGGTCCATTGACTTCTTTTATACCTCATGTTTATCGTTACAAGAAATGCTCTTCATGCTCTTGTGTGTTTGTTTTCCAGCCTGAGGCCTCTCGATGTGGAGTTCATGAGGCGTCTGAGCAAAGTGGTCAACATCGTCCCCGTCATCGCCAAAGCAGACACGCTCACACTGGAGGAGAGGGACTTTTTCAAACAGACGGTGGGTGCTACTAATGAGATACTATGGAATAAATGCAAAAATATCATCTGTGCGTTTCATCAAAAACAATATGAAAAAAAAAATTACACATTATTGTCAAGTATTGATGCATGTTTTCTATTTGGATAAATAATTGAACTCAGCAGTGACTGCCAACCCCTGGTTCTGGAAGAAAATTTCTCATTCATTTTTCTCACAGACTTTCTGAAAAAACTGAAAAGATTGAACAGTTGCTCAGGACTTATCAGCTATGTGGTAACTAATGACTACAATACCTTTAATTTTATTAAAAACTGGTTAGCATTTAGCAGGATCTTGCATTTTAAATCTGCTTTTTGGACTCAAAATAACAGAGTTATGAACAACATAGCTGATTATATTCGGTGATGCCTTTGAACTCTTAATATTTAAATTCGAAAATGAATGGAAAATTTACCTTTAAGAACTAGAGTACAATTAGAGCTTAGTATATGCCTCATTTTTAACATCATTTTTATGGATAGAATTGCTCATATGCTGTTCATACATACAGTGCACAAGTTCTTTACCTGGCAACAGAGAGTGTCTGTTAGTTAAGTTTTAGTTAATTCCCAGGTTGTATTGCCTGCTGTGTGGTCTGTGCTAGTGACTATAGGAAGTACCATTCATCTGCCTCGACACACATCACAGTACCACTCAGGACCATGGGAACTCCTGTATAATCTGTTACTGCCATAAAGTTCTCCACAGGTTTATTTACCCAACTGTGAGCTGCACCTGCTCAGTCTGGCTGCTGTTCAGACCTCTGCCCAGTCACCAGCTCTGCACACAGCCCCTTCATTACCACTGAATTATATGTGATTATACGGGTTCATTCAGGTTCACGGCTCTGCTGTTTAGGAAGCTTTTCGAGACAAGATAAAGAGGCACTTAAGGTAGAAGTAGGAATGTCTGGAATTAAATTAATGCGAGCCGTCCTTGAATGTTTCACCCTCTTTCTCATCTTAAGTGGCACTTGCTGTTAAATAGAAATGGCATTTAACTATCTTGGAGTCTTAAGATAAAATATGAATTATGATTTGACATGTATTGTTTTTTTATTTGTTTTTGCTATTTTTGTATTTGTTTGTTTATCTGGGAATGTAACATTGTCACATGGTTGTAGGTGCTACATGTAGCCACAAGGGGGCAGTCAAGCAACTTGTTGGTTTAAAAGACAGAGTATTGACTAGTATTAAACTATAACATAGGTAGATTGTGATTTTGCTTTTTGTTCATTGCAACATTGATTTAAATAGAAGTGGTCCCATTGACTTATTGTTCAAAAGTGCAGAACTCTTCACAGGGACCCAGTGTCAGATTTTTTCCTAATAATTGCAATTATGTACAAAGTGGGAATGAATGCAGGACAATACAGGACCAACATGCATGAATCAATACAACTTTGGGCACGCTAATGGTGAGGGCTATAACATAGTAAACAGGTTATAAAAGTAAATTTGGCATAATGTGTTCCCTTTACATTAAAACTCTAAAATGTGATTCATTAGATTCATTAGAGTATTTACTGCCTTTTATTCTGAAGGAGGTTCAACTATATCAGTTTATTTGCGGATCAATTGTTTTCTGCAATAAATCTTAAAGGTGCACTGTGTAACTTTTCTGCTCTGCCACTTGCTTGTCTCCATGGAGATGTTATTGCTTTGCCTGGAATGTTACACAGTATAGCATTAAACATTTATCTATTAATTTTCATTACAGGTCTTGAAACCATGCATTTGTACTGTTTCTAAGGTCGCCTTTACACAGATCTAACCTGTATCTTAACCTGGTGATGTCTCCATGGAGATACACAGTTTAATTGTCATACTGTATTAGAGAATTCCAGCGGTGGACCCTCTACCAGTAAAGTCACACAGTGCAGCTTTAGCCATAATTCATCATAAAGAAATCACTGCAATTGTGTTATCCCAGCTTTTCCATTATGCTTTCTCAGGTGTAATCCTTTAACTTCAAACTCTTGGAGCGGTAAACCCAAAGACAATCTGCAGGAGACAGACTGCCACCTGCCAACTTCTATTATGCTTTTTATTGCTTTATACCTCTTAATGCCTTAATTGTATCATTCTTTTTGGGAGGATATGAGATCACTATGGGTGTCTCTGTTATCCCCTCCTTTCTATTGTCTGCACTGACCAAGAGGTAACAAAGACAGGATAGAACTAAGGCCTGGCATTGCTCCTGAGCTCATGTTGCTTCTGTGTTGGTTGGCTGCCTCTGCACTGTGTGACCCTGGAGATAATTGACCAGAAATATCTTGTGCCAAACAGTTTTTCCTTTTTTCTTTTTTCTGTTTTGACACGTGAACCTAATCGGAGCCTGTGCATGTAGCAGTTGTAGTTTTGGTCCTGTAATGTACAACTTGGAGAAAGCTTGTAAGAATAAAGTTGTATACTGAAAATGGTTGTGAAATTGAGTTGTCATCATGGGCAACGTGGGCAGATCTCTGTGTGACTCATGTTAAAGATGCACTGTGTAACTTTTCTATTGGAGGGTCCGCCAACTGTTTCTCTCCATGGAGATGTTATTGTTTTGCCTGGAACCTTCCAGTATAGTATTAACTGTGAAGTGTGTGCACCACCTGCTGTCTCCTCTGTTCCACTAGCCTGATTCATCAGCCGGTTTCACTTTGTGGAAACCATCTGACCTCGCAGTGTTAGAATTTGTTCGCTCGACGGTAGGCAGGTACTTTTTTCATTTAATCAATCACTGCTATTTGGTCCTGACATATGTAACGCAACGCTAACAGGGTGAACTAGTATATTAAGCTTTTCCCAAATCCCGTAGGAAAAAGGGCAATGAAGTCTTTCCCCTTGATAAAATTCACCAAACATTCTCTTTGTTCCAGCTTTAAATCCTCAATCTCTGGAATCGTTGCCAACTCTTCGCTGATTGGCTGTAACTCGCACTTCCAGGGTTCTTGCAAACTGTCTCGTGTATTCCAATTCCTGACCTAGTCACTGGAGAGAAATGAAATTGAGCAGAGGCACTAGGTGGCACCAGCCTGGCTAATGTTGCACTGCATTGGATTAAAATTGTGGCATCTTATGCATGTCTCCATGGAGATATACAAGGCCAAGGTATAGGTCAGATCTGTAGAGAGACGACCCTGTTTTTTTAAGGTATTTTAAAAGCACCAAGAACCTCTTTCATTGAATAACTTTAAGATGAATAGACGTCTTTACCTTTATTGCCATACTGTGGAACATTTCAGGCTAAATAATATCTCGATATAGACACAAGCATTCAGCAAGTGCTGAAATGTGGTCTTTTAACAGACATGTAACCATACCACAATTGATATATTTGATCTGATTTGAGCATTTCTGAGCATCAGAGTGCACGGCTGTGAGTTAACAGAAATGTATTGTCACTTTATGATGACCGATGACTTATCTGTGGGGCCGGTGCAGCGCTGCTGGAAGATGGATTGAGGCTTTCGACTTGATTGATTGTTTTAGTTCACCAATCGGACTCCTTTTGTTTTCCAACCTTCTTCTCACTTGTCATTATAGAATAGTTTGCCCTTGCTCCCAGTACTTGGTGTGGTGTGGTGATTTAAGCTTGGTTTATTGCCGTGGTAACATTGCTTTGCTTTATTTGTCCTTGTGCAGATTAGAGAAGGCCTGCGTGCTAATGGAATCGACGTGTACCCTCAGAAAGAGTTTGACGAGGACGCCGAGGACAGGCTGATCAATGACAAGATCAGGGTAAGTCTAAACATGCCTGTCAAGAAATGTCAAAATTATATTGTATTAAACATGATTCTATCCGTAACTTTATTGATCCTGTATATGGTGTGGTAGGAGATGATCCCATTTGCTGTTGTGGGGAGTGACCAGGAATACCAGGTGAACGGGAAGAGAATCCTCGGCAGGAAAACAAAATGGGGGACTATAGAAGGTAAGGGCACAAAAGGCATCAGGGGGCTTTGAGGTTGGAACAGGTTGTAAAATGTAGTAATAATATCGTTTATTTGTATTAGTTTGCATTTGACAGCAAATATAAAAGTGCTACAGAATAAAAATGTAAAGAGAAACATGGCATAGCAAATAGAAATGTGAATTATATTTAGTTTTTTAAATTGATAACAAAAAGAGGCAACACACCCAATTATTGAGACATAATCCTTCATTCGCCCTGGAGTGGTTCAATACAGAGAACGTTTCATCTATGATTATCTGGACTTTCAAGGTGCACTGTGTAACATTTCTAGTGGAGGGTCCACCACCTGCTTGTCTCCATGGAAATGTTATTGCCTTGTCTAGAATGTTCCACAGTATAAATTATAGCTATCTATCACAAGGGAGACTAGCAGGTTACAGCACTATGCTACATTACATGTTAGATCTGTGGAGAGTCTTCCCTATTCACAGAAGTAATTGCTGTATTTGTTTTTGAGCAACAGAAACACCTGTAATGAATAAACGATACATCGATATGTTTACCGTCATAAAATGGAACATTCCAGGCAAAGCTATAATCTCTCCATGGAGACAAGCGGGTAGCGGACCCTCTACCATGAAAGTTACGCAGTGCGACTTTAAGGAATTATGTTAGTTTGATCTTAAGTTCAACCTCAAATGATTTTTGTGGTTAGCTAATTTTCTAGTCCACATGACTATTGAGAGAACTGTCTGTACCCTCCCCATTATTCTAAAACACTTCCATCAGTCATAAATATGAATTAGTTTTAGTAACGTAATACAGTCAAACACAGTGAGAACTCAAAAGCAAAAATGTAATGCAAAAAGTCTTCTCCAACACCCTCTCTTTCCAAAGCCATCAGTCATTTTTGATAAGTCATTTGGTTGTTGAGTACCTGCTATATTTACCCCTTGTGTGGGCACACTTAAGCCTCCAGCAGATTGTCTTCATGCGGAGAATGTGTAAAGTTTCTGGTCCGGCACTGTTTAATCAGTCCATCTGGTGAAAACGTCTGTGTGTTGTCGAGCGCGTCGCTAGGGAGACTTAGCTGACAGGAAGAGCAGATTTATGGAGGCAGACCCACGTCCCAGCCCACATTAGCGCGCTGTGGCTCTGATACACTTTACATTAGTGACTTGGCCCAAACTCTGTGCCGTGCTGCCAGAGGACACTTTGTGCAGGTGGATGTCCTCATGTCACCCCCTGCTCTGGAGGAGGACACAAAAAAGAGGAAATGTAAAAAGAAGAAAATCAAATGGGATGACAAGAAAAAAGCAGTTTCATACTTCAAAATTAGATATTCACTATTTAATCTTTGCACTATTTCTCCTTACAGAATCCTGTATATAGTTGAGATGTATTTACTATATTCTATTCTAATTTCTATTTTTTCATGTACATATACAATAATGGTGCATTATCTGACACTATTTGCTACTTATTTCGAATGTAGTATTACCATTTATGTGTTTGCTCTTTGTTATTCTAATAAACAAATAATTTCCCATGGTTCAATAAAGTTTGTCTGTATTCAGATAATCATTTTAACTTAACTTTTAGATATTTCTTATGAGAACACCATGTAATCAGGAAAACTCTGACTCTTGATCCATAACAGTAACTATAATGGCATTGCATTCTAAAATCTGAAAAACACCAAGATTACTATGAGGTAGATTAGTAGCCTAGTGGTTATTGTCTAATCTAAGTGTTTTTGTGTACTAGTTGATAAATTTCATAGACTCATTTGGAAAAAAGATGAATATGTATTTACTCTGTGTAGCCAACATAAATGTCCTATATGCTATTACAGCAAGCCCCATTTGAAAAACTGCACCCATTCCCTTATCACATCCTCAATTTGACTACAGTACTGTGCTATTGAAGATCAAAGTACACATAAAAAACACATCTTACAAACTAACTAAAGGCAATGTAACCAATTAAATGTGGCTTGAGTCAACAGTTTTTGTATGTAATTGTATTTCAGCACATGGGGACATCCCTGGGCCTCCCCATGATCCTGCAGCTCAGCTTGCTTTTCTAACAAGTTATTGGAGCTCTCCTTGGTCATGACTAATCAGCCTGCACAGACCCAGCAGTTATTTCACTTCACTCCTTTCAGAGTGAATTTAATTTCCTGCCCATGGATTTCAAAGCTTTACATAAATAGCAACCTCCTCTTTTCATTTGTGCCCTTGACATAATCTATAATTTAAGCATGTGTTAGCCCGACTGGAGGCAGCAGCCGCTTGTCATGGGGAGTTTGTTAAAACGTCTCACTTAAATTTCTCCAATAAAAAACGGAGAGATGCATTAAATTACTTGAAAGTGGAGGAGTGTGTTATCTAGGCTTAAGCAAATTGCAGCACATGTCATATTAGACTGTGTCCTTGAATTTACTTTAATGTGAAATATTACCATCTAGTGGCCATTTAGAAAATGACATTTTGCTGCAGGGCCTTTAGTTTAGAGATATGTTACTTGAAATTATGACTTTTTTGTTCATTGAAATAAGATATTAATATTGCATTTTTTTCCTTTGCAGTTGAGAATATTTCACACTGTGAGTTTGCCTACCTGCGAGATCTCCTCATAAGGTAAGAAAGTACATGCCAGACTAATGTACTCAACACATTTTTTCATGGCGACATATAAAAATAAGCCACTACAAATGCCAAGTGTATACATGAGAGTTATGGTATTCGGGGTGATATTTCTGAAGAAAAGAAAGAAAAATTTCAGTATAAAAATACAGCTTACAATATCACTGTGATGCTGTGTTGCTGTGGCAACCTCGACATGGCATAGGCTAGTTCTGAGCATAATTTTCTAACACTTATCTCTTTCCTCCAGGACTCACATGCAGAACATCAAAGACATCACAGGGAGCATTCACTATGAGACATACAGGGTCCGGCGGTTAAACGAATCAAACCACATCAACTCTCAGTCCCCTGGACATCCAGTGCTCCAGCCCAAAGCCAATGGTCAGATAGAGGCGCAGCCTGCCCCAGCACAAGCCAACGGAGTGCCCACACAGCATGAAGTCATGTCCCATGAGATGTAGATGAAAGGATCCTAGGTCGAAAAGAAATCAGGAAGTAAATAGATGCACAAGGTCATTGAGATGTTCAGTTTACATAACAAGTCCCCTTCTTATGCTGTGAAGTGTGTTGTTTTAGATAGATTTACTACTACCTGCACCACAACTCTTATTTAAGTGACAGATATGCCAAAGTCACCATTACATTATGGAGAGTAGTTTTTTATTTTCTACAGTCCTACATTATTCCATATTTGCCCATGACTGCTCATTAGAGTCTCCATCTCCACAATAGGCTACTTCAGACAGACCACATGCAGATGCACTTAAAGCACAGTACGTCACATTCTTAATTATATGGTTGTCATGACTGCAGTTAAGTATTCAGGTGCTGTATTTCTCTTAATTAAGGCATTATATATTTCCATCATACACCACTGACAGAAATTAAGCAACTAAAATATCAATATAAAAAGTACTATCCATACTTGTACCCAAAATCCAACTGGTAGTGTTGTGATGTGTAGATTTGTATAGGATTATTTAGCCATGTTTAGTTCAAAGTACATTATTGACACCTCCACAGTGTACACAGTCATGGCAGTGTGGAGCAGATTTCAAACAAAATGGTTCCTCACTTTTTATTGTCTTACATTGATGTTTTAAACCCATTTTGCCAGTTCATTGTCTTCATATTGTGTTATGCCATGTGTTTTTACAGTGCTTGATTCATATTGTATTTTAATTGCTGATGTTTTTGATCATACAGTATATTATTGTATATGAGAGTGATTTGTGCCACCATTATAACTTTTGTTTGACTGTAAACCAAATAAAAGATTTGTTCAAAAGAGAAGCACACATAGTATACATTGATTATGAATAATATTTATGTGTATGTTAAATGTAACCAATGCATCAAACTTCCATTGTTTCCATTAAATATCCTCAGACTTTTTTTTTTTTTTTTTACGTTTGCCTGTATACATTTTATCGCAAAAATTACACTTACATTTAGATTCACTCCAATCCACCATTTGAAAAATGTTGATATTTAGAAATTAAAACTTCAGATAAATTTCCTATATTTTCACAGCAATTTTCTATACAAATGAACAAAAGATATTCCCTTTTTCCAGGAAAGTTATTGGGTTTCACTTTGTTTATTGTTGTATAGAACTTGTGGAATTCGTTATGGTATTATAGAATAGGATTTATCTTTGATATATCTTTAAGAATAAATATTTTGTTGTTTAAATCAGGCCTCTTGTGTTATTCATTTTTATTTTATTTATACATTTTTTGTATAATTATAATTTCTACCTGATTCTTGTCCAATCACCGTGAGATGGGCGGAGTGGGCCACCGTAGTGGAAATTAGCTTCATGCTATTAGCATATGGGTTTGAACATTTCAGCAATTAAAATGTTCTTTATGATTCCAAAAAAGCTCTAGCCTAAATAAAATTGTGTTATGCATTAAAGGACAGACACATCGTTTGGTTGAGTCTCATCAGACTTGAATGAAGGTAAATATTTTTGGACAGTTTTTAAGAGTAAAACTGTAACGCAAAAGTTTAGTCAACACCTATGTGCATATTTCATTTTTGAACAATAAAAATCAACACCGTAGTCTTGCATAATGGTAAAAATGGAGTGATATAGCCTAATAAGTCAGATGATAGTAGTCCTGCCTGCCTCCAGTCTCCAGTCTAGTAGCTGTGTGTCTCATTTACACCTTTGTCACAGTATTTTTCAACCTCCCGCTGTCTGTAATGTGTTGTTTATGGAAGTCCTTGTCACCTTTTCACACTTGGCTCTCTCCAGTGTCTCTTGGTGGAGGAAAACGTGTGTAAACTACTCCTGTGTGATGTGTGTGATGGGGAGGACTCTGTGTGACGCATTTGACACTTCAAGGTGAGACAGACTGACACATTTAACTCTCTGGTGTGTTCAACTCTTGACACTTACGTTTAAACATTTTATTAGATTTTCCTGTTGAGGTGTAAGGGTTAATTATGGTTCACTTTGATCTCACTTCGTCCTATTGGCACATTACTGCCTATAGGCCTATATGTTGTAACCAGATAGTAGCAAAAGCGTGAACATCATTTTGCAGCTGAAATATCTATTATAGATACATATATACATTTGAAATATATATTTGTTAAATAACTACAGATTTTTGAGATCTAATAAAGCTTCAAAAGTGCTGATTTTGATAAAGCTTTATGCTGAAGTGTGTTCAACAGAAGCACTAAATTTATATATTTTTGCTAGCTGTTTTTATTTGCATTGTTTACTTAAACTATAAACGTGTAAATAAACATTCAGCTTTTTAGCAGGTCCCACACAATAATAAAAAAAAATACTTTTTTTTTTCTATCCAGTTGTAATGTAGTGGAGTAGAAAGTACAGATACCTGCTCTCGAATGTAGTAAAGTAAACCTATCCACTTTAAAATCTACTTAAGTTAAGTACAGACACCTAAAATATATATTTAATTACAATACTTAACTATTTTTACTTTGTTATGTTCCACCACAGTATTAGTAGGCTGTAGACTAGACATAAATTATTGGATGTGGTGTAAATACGTCATGCTGTTTCTCTGTCTCCAGGATCCATCTAGCAAACACACTGACCAACATGAAGACCTGCACAGTACAAGTTGTCCATCTGTAACGCCGGTTGGTGCCAGTCTTTCTGTCCACACACGTACACACAAGCACTTCCTCCAACAGCCTCTGTCTCCTCCAGGTCTACAGACACAGACATATTCTCTTATGTCTTTCAGATCTGCTGCTGCAAATCTCAACCCCAAAAACAAGACTTCTACTTTCTACCCGTTTGGTGCCCCTCGCCAATCTGCAGACAACCACCAGTGTAATCGACGCAAGGTAATCTGCCGGTAATTACAAGGGGTTCGTTAACGATTTTGCATGTATTAAAACGATGCATGCTAATTGCGCTTCACTGTTTCTCTTGCCTCCGATTTCCTGTTTACGTCTGATTAACCAAAAAAACGCATCCACAGACAATAACCATGTATTCTCTTATCGTGTGCCCGGTTCACCCTTGAGCTCTGCCAACACCAAGCATGGCGCCCTGTTTGTTGTTGATGTATGCTAATGCGCTACGTCCATCTGTTTCTTTGCTTAATTTGGGTTTAGCTTGTTAGTAATCATGTTCTTCTTTCTCCTGCCCTCGTCATTTCCACCCATCGCCCCCATTCGCACGCCTGTACCTCCTCTGCTACCCTCCTGATCTCTCCAATATCCAGCATCAGGGTGCCCGTCTGCCTGGATCGCTGCCAACTCAGGCGGTGAGGAGGAGGAGGAGGAAACTAGTCTGGAAATGCAAATCTGGCTTGTTTTGATTAAAAGACAGCTGCATATTTCATTAAAGTCACCAGTGGAGGTGAGAGAGGAGTAGGCACACCTCTCCCGGGAGGTAAAGGTTGTTTAGCTCAAGTGAATGTTGTAGGAGCCGCTGTTTAGTGCTACTGAGGGGAACAAATAGTACAGACAAAGGGCTGCCCAGGGACAGCTTTGGGTTTAATGGGGCTAGCTGGCACATCAGTTAAAGCCCACACTGATGCATAGTGCTACTGAACGCTAGTTGCATGTTAACAACAGCAATTGACAGTGAAATATAGACCCCCGTCAGACTTCAAGGTGCTTAGACACGGTAAGACAGTTGTTGTTTTTTACCCACCAGTGCCAAAGACAAAACATATACCTCCAAACATGGTAGTAAAAAGAGCAATGACTTCACATGTCGCCATCTTTTATTGTGTGGCAGCTCCCTCCAGGGCTGTGTGAACATAAAATAACATGACTTCCAGCAATATAGTATTTTACCACTTCTAAATAAGTTTGACCTTGACCAGACTTTAAGATGCCAATGTGCTGCTGTATATTTAGTAATATTTGTATGAAAACCTTTAAGCTACCAAGAATAAATAATCCACTTTGCATTCAATATGCCATGTGCTAAGATACGGGTCCTCTTTGACAAGGGCAGTGTGTGGATATGATACATGGTATCATATATTGCCTTTATTAGTCCCTTCATGTTTTTTTTATTTTGTGACTTCCAATTTCCTAAACACAAGGGTCAGACATAATAGAACATTTTATGTAGTTACACTAAGACAACATTATTTAGAGGCCTTACAGACTTACAGCCTTACAGTGTTTTTTGCCTTCTTGACATCACACTAGTGCACAGACCTGTCACGAAAGCATGTCTTTGTAAAATAGCACAAACTATAATAAAGTGACACTGCTGAAGACCACTTTATCTTGACATACTATACTATAACATACCATGAAGATCACAGTTCTCTTGTCCAAAAGAAGGTATATCCATAAGCTGCAGTGAATAAATGGTACAAAGAAAAAGCGTATTGATTATGAAATGAGCAAACCCCATACAGCTCAAATGATAATATACCACAAAAAAGTATGTACAATGCACCTTAAAAATAATTATTCGATCATTAATTGTTCATTCATTTAATGAGCAATAAGATAAATATATAGTACTTCCCATGACAAGCATTCACTTTCAAATAAGTTTCCTGTCCTTCAGTTTGACCTTGACCAACCACTCTTTGTTGTCTTGTGTATATTCATGAATAAAAATCACTTCCTCTTCTTTAACACTGATACAAAGCTAACATAAGGTTAGACTTGTTTCTTTGAGGGGTTGTCCTCTCTGTAGCTGAAGCTGGTGGGTGATTTATAGTTGGGAGAGCCCTGTGAGGTCAGGGGGTGGACGTAGTTGGACGTGTGGGGATGGGTCTGCTGGCATCGAGCCAACTTCCTGTGAATCCAAAGACATGGTACTCATGGGGGGAGATTGAAGAAGTGGTCCCTCTGCATAATCAATCAGAAACAATAGGGGAGAGGACCAGTGTCTTTCTTGACAAGGCTGATTGTATTTATGCAGCAATGGAAGCGAGGAGGAGCCAAATTAAAAGGGATAGGGAGTGAGGTGTGGGCTGGGCGCTGGGAGCTGTAATGGGTGGACTGCACTACAAAGCCAAGGACATATATCCAGGAGGAGCTGATTGAATACCCTGCCAATAAAAGAAGCCAGTTTCATGCACCATTGACTGAGTTGGCATCTTGGCTGTCGTGCTGAGAAACCCCCGTGGAGGTCATGATGTTGTGAATCGCATTTACTTCCTTTAAGAAAGAATCACTCCCTCACAGCTCATTTTATTTCCGGTTTTAGTTCTTCCTTATACACAATATACAGCATACCTTCGGTTTTGATGACATGTCAAAACAAGAGGAAAACCCAATTGGATTTTTGAAAAGATCAAATTCAGAGGCACAATAGGTGGGGAACTTAATCAGGTTTAAGGCTGCTGTGTACATACACCCAGGGATATTGTTCTTTTATTTTCTCTGTAGGTAGAACAGCATGTCCTAGAGCAGTCTAGCAAAATGCTTGTCCTATATCTTTTCAGACATGAACTTTCCACTGTCACCATTACTGTGGGTCTGTGCCTCCCAGCTAAACATATTAGTGGAAATCACATTCTGACAAGGACGGTCACTCATATATGATTTGAACCATCTGTATGTCTGACTATACTGGAGGCTTACACTTTCTAATTTAAAGGTCCACTGTGTAACTTTTGTGGTGGAGGGGCAGTTTTTCTCCATAGTAGGGGTGTAACAATAACCGAAATATCGTGATATCGTATTGTCAAAAGTCTCAGTAATATCGTGGGCTGTCACAATATATCGAATCACAAGTTCCTTTGCTTAAATGCATGGTTTTATAATAGTAATAGCTTATGAACATAGGGAACTGTATATGCCATGATTCATTTCAGTGCAGACAACATGAAGAGATATGTTTTTTACTTGAATTCTTGGGATTATGACGGTAATAATTCATACTAAAATCTTATCAAGGTATTTTAAAAGCAAAAAATAGTACCATCTACAATTATATTAGCCTCTTCAGAATATTGCAATAAATATCCTACCGTGAGATGCATATCGTGAGATTTGGATATCGTTGCATTCCTACTCCATAGAGATATTATTGCTTTGTCTAGTCTAGTGTGTTCAATATATCATCTTTGAACTGTTTTTCCTTACGACCTCTTGTACATTGTTGAGATATATTTGTATTATGCACAAATACATTTATGCAATTATGCCTTATTTGACAGCAGTCTCTTTGCTACATATTTAAAAGTTCTTATTAACCTTTATATTGTTGATCTTTGTTATGATAATATATTGTGATGTGTGAGCTACTCTGTCCACATTATTTCCCTTGTGGATCAATAAATTTTATAAGTCCATGGTAACAGGCAAGTAAAGCCACCAGGCCAAATTATCGGCCAGATCTATGGAGATGTTGCCCTGCTTACAGGATGAATGGATGTTTTTCTGTTGAAGGGAGCAATAGAAACACCTGTCATTGTATAAAATGTAAGAATTAAGTTTAATGTCATACTATGGAACATTCAAGGCAAAGCAATATCATCTCCATGGTGACAAGTGGCAAACCCTCCACCACAAAAGTTACACAGTGCACCTTTAAATATGAAACAGTCTTCTACTTTTATAGTAATTTAATTGTTCTCTTCAGGCCTGATTACTGTAGCAGGTGTATTTATCCTGTATGATGCCATGCTGCCTCCTGCTGTCCTCCTGTGGTAATAGCATGCACATAAAGCTAATTTCCTACTGCCAGCCCCTAACATTAATTCAGATACTGATCCGTGAGCCCTTGGAGCCCTCTTCACTCCATCCATGTCTCCTCCTTCTGCCGTTCGCTCACTCATGTTATCAATTCACTGTTTTCTCTAGGAAAATATAAGTTAAGCTCACCTTATTTACATTTATATGATCAGATTTTCACCCTTATGGATGCTATGCAAATTTGCCCTTTTCTCCGCCTTCGCCACTGCCAGTGTAGATTTGTTGCGAGGCGCTGAAAAAATAACATTGCCCTCTAGGTGGAAGGAGACCCAACTTAGGATTTCTGGACCTCATGAATTTTGTAATGATCAATTTTGTTTACCGTTGCTGCCTTGAAGTGTTATGTGGATAGTTTGAGCTCGGGATATATAAGGAGATTGATTCACAGCTGAAATGTCATTTTTATATACCCCTTTATATACCCTTGGCTACTGCCCCTCCAATGCTGTGAATATGATTTCTCATTTCTTCATCTGATGGCCTCTAAATTCCTTCCCCTGTTTTTGTGTTTGTGGCGTGTGGTGGGGCTATGGCAGGATGTGCTCAGCCACCGGTCACATCTGAAATCCTCGGTGAGTTGGACCAGAGGGAAATGAAATGCAAATCTAGTGGATGGCAGAACGAATGCCGCCGTATTGAGCATATTCAAGAAATAAGCCTTATGATTGTGTGTGGATGTGTGGGTTTAGAATGAACAAAATCCTCATAAAAAATAAATCTACATGAAGAAAGGTGTATAGTTTTTAAACCTGTAAAAACTAATAACCATAAGACATAAGCATGTGTAGATCTTTGCCAAACACTAGTCAATTTTATAAGGTATAATGCTCAGAACTGGACTCAAACTTGGACTCTGTTTTTTTTTTTTTTAGCTTAGGGGAAAAGTATCTGTTGCTATGATAGAATTTATTGTTTACTGTGTGATTTTTTCACTCTGATATTTGGTCCATAGCTTAAGAAAATTGAATTCTGTCAACTTCTACCCAGTTCACAGAATGTACTTATTTACTTTATGTACTTATTTACTTCTGTATTTATTCATTTTATAAACTAAGATCAAACAAGGGTTAAAGTAAGATAATGCTCAATGCTCAGAAATCAATCAATACTGAAAACTAGTATTAAAACTAGACACTCATTTGAACAAGTACTTATCCTTAAAA